AAGGCTACAATACTGGCGGTATTCGCTGCGGGCGTTGCTCCGAAGCTTGACTAGTCTATCGCCGAATTCATCCACGTAGAAGCGGAAGGTTTGGCGATTGTCCGTATAGACCGTTCTACTGGAATAGTTTTTTTTTTAATATCAGCCGACACGAGGTGTCCCAGCAAACGATGAAAACGATACAATGGTTTTGCTCTGGGAGACAAACGAAAGTCAACGTTTACAGTTATCTTTCCAATTGCATTTAGTTTAGTTTTCCTAAAGCCAGCGCGAAGACAACGAGAGCACAACTCCCGCAGACGCCCTTTCTATCATGCCTCTGCCTCTCACCCAATAAATACTGTCTCCCTCTCTTCCCCTCCATACAGCAACCGAGAATGCTATTTCCTCCCGTGAAGGGAATATTTCTTGCTGCACGTACATCAATAGTGCCAGGTGCCCAAGTCGTCAAATAGTACCTGCCACTCTTTCTCATTACCTACAAGGACGGTACCGGATATCGTCTCCTTTTCGCCGCCTTCGAAAGAAAAGGGGTGGGTGGGTGGCAATGTATTCTCTACTTGTTATCAGCTTCTGAGGCTCGCAAAGTCACTAGGGTCCTTCCGTGTCCACCTTGCTCGTTGTTTGTGCGCTACTTTCTCTCTCTGGCACGCGAAGACTCTGTGAACACAACGAAACGTAACCATTGATCACAACCTCCATCGATTTCTTGACGAACAAATACATCCGCCTTGCTGTGAAGAACGCTATGGAGCAAGAGGGACCACCGAAATGATTTGACGGCCAACCACTGACTCCACGTTTTTATAAGATCTTGGTAGGTGGTGTCGCGACAACAAATCATCATCCCTCTCCCTTTTCGAGGTACGCACTAGGATTATGTTTCGCACTGACCAATCATGTCAACCTGAACATGTCGACACGTCGGAGATGCATCTCGTATTGGCCAACGAGGGTCGTTTGGCTACGCGTGACGGTCAGCGAAATATTGACGCGTGCATTCGCTCGAAATCTCCCATGAGCTTGCATTCATTTGTTGGCTGCGCCATCAGTTCCCGGTAATGAGCCAAGTTCGACCCACGGGTCACGTTCCCATTGACAGCCGAGGCGAAGTGTCTCAGCGAAAGCTGCAATCGAAACAAAATGTTTACCAGGGCAAGGAGTGCCCCCAAACACGCCGAAGGCAATAATACTGGCGATATTCGCTGCGAGCATTGCTCCAATAACTTGATTCGTCTACCACCGAATTTATCCAACTAGAAGCGGAAAGGGTGGCGATTGTTCGTTGTACAGACCGTCCTACGCAATGCCAGCTGGCCTGGTCAGAGAGGCATGTGCCCTTTGTCTGTTATCGCGCCCCGATCTGACACCCGAGAGGTGTTGTGGTTTTCGAGCGAACGTCAAGCTGTTGGTCGCTACTTGATCGCCGAGCCATTACCAGCGAGGTGCTGCGCTTACGTATGTGCTAAGGACGTTTTCCTTTTCCTCGTTATCGATCTCTGCTAACCCAACCGTTCATCCTACTTGCAACGGTACTGGATATGTGGACGCGAGAGACCATTGGATATTTGGCAAACAACGGAATCAGCAGGAGGGTGCACGAGAAATGTGTTCCCGGACACCTGTTTACCTCTCCCTTCCTCTTCCTCACCGCCCTCTCCGGGCTCCGGGTCTACTTCTACTGTGCGCCGAGAACCTCTTTGTCTGTAGCCTTGCGCCGCAACAGCCTGGGCTAGGCCTGTGCCCTCCTGCTCTCCCTCTTGTTGTCTAGGTGTGGTACGTATTTAGTACAACGGGCAGTCGCGACAAGCCCGCACGAGCGCACATGGCCTGGGGGCCCGTAGATGCACAACAACCCCCCCATATTATACGGTGTCCCTTTATTTTTGAGTTCAGTCTATTCTTTTTGTATATGGGATATTGTATGGCACATTTCTTGGCGGGGGCGGTCACTTTGTACCCTCGCCCCCCCTGTAACTCTTGAAATGATGAAGTTGGGTGCGTAGGGTGTGGGCATTTTGTTTTGGTTCGTTCACCCTTCTATGAGCGCTCTGAAGACCTTGATATTCACCGGAAATCGCCGAAAAACTGTAGAATTCTTGGAACTACCCCCGGGGTTTTCAGTCAACGACAGCACGTTAAACGTCTTTTCTACCTCTCGACTGTTCTAGGGGCGATCTTCCCTAGCAGCAATAGTTGTCCCCCCTCCTTGGCGATCGCACCGATACCTACGGCATTTCCTTCCTGTAGACGGAGGGTGTGGTAGCAGCTATGAATAGGAGACGAAGGGCTCACGTGTTCGGAAGGGTCTATTCCCTGTTTCTTGCGTGCATTTGTCGTTGATGGGTATTGCCCGGACATCGTTCCTCGTGGTACGTGTGTGTACGTGTGGTTTGTTGGAATGTCCAGGGGACTGTTCTCCCCCGGAGTATTCAAAGTGCTGATCCCGGAATATATTCCCATACCTCATGATCTTCCCCGGGTTTCGCGTTTTCGCAAAATGACCACCTCCAGATCCAAGCCACGGTCAATTCCATCGCACCCTCGCCTGCCCGAGCTACAGCATGCGAAAAGCGTGAAGCCATTTCTAGTAATCAAAGCTGTTGGTCGCTGCACGATAGCCGCGCCATCAGTAGCCGGATTCGGCGCTCATGCCGTTCCTACTGCTCCGATCGATCCGATTCCGCAGTAGAGTATGGCTGTGGCCGCCGCCACGATATTGTAGTGGGTTCGGACACTCACCGAACCAGGATTTGCTAATCCCAGCCGCATGGCGGATCTTTGGCGACCCCGGGCGCCTGCTCACCCCTAACCACTGATCACAACCTCCATCGATTTCTTGACGAACAATACATCCGCCTTGCTGTGAAGAACGCTATGGAGCAAGAGGGACCACCGAAATGATTTGACGGCCAACCACTGACTCCACGTTTTTATAAGATCTTGGTAGGTGGTGTCGCGACAACAAATCATCATCCCTCTCCCTTTTCGAGGTACGCACTAGGATTATGTTTCGCACGGACCAATCATGTCAACCTGAACTTGTCGACACGTTGGAGATGCATCTCGTTTTGGCCAACGAGGGTCGTTTGGCTACACGTGACGGTCAGCGGAGTATTCACGCGTGCGTTCGTTCGAAATCTCCCATGAGCTTGCATTCATTTGTTGGCTGCGCCATCAGTTCCCGGTAATGAGCCAAGTTCGACCCACGGGTCACGTTCCCAATGACAGCCGAGACAAGGCGTCCCACCAGAAGTTGAAACTATTTTAGAGTTGCAACCAGAGAATTCGAAACGAAACATGTCAAAGCGATATCGGTGTTTGCACTGGAAACAAGTGCTGCATCGGGCATCCATTCACTATGTTGCTGTTCCGGAGGCAGAAACGCCGAAGGGCCCGTTGAATTTTTCTTGAAGACAACTTAATTTGTTGCATCGTGACGTATCTTGCTTGCGAGAGCACCAACAAGACCTCTCGTCCGCGCGATTCGCGCGGATTTGCGTGGATTCCACGTTCCCTCAAAGCATGTAGATCGAATTAATGCAGTACAGTCGTGTAGATTCGTTGCCTGTTGACGGCTAGGTTGCGGCCGGAGACAAGCCTCCACGTCCAAGCAAATGGGTATTCCTAGCATTCCTAGCTGTGTCGATCTGTTTCCCCCATATTCATACGTATTGATCGCGATTGCCGTGATTTTGATGTCGACCGTTGCCCCCTAGGAGAGTTGCTTGCCCCGCTGGCGGTGTCGTCGGAGTTCGTAGAAGCCGAAATCAGCGCTAACGCTTCTACTGTAGGTTCAACGGCAAGGTACACCCACGTTGTCGGTGCGTGTTTGTACTCTCACGCCCATAACTAACTCTGGTCCACTCGGAGTGCTACATGGACTACGTACCAGGCTATCAGCACCCGCGCCGAATATAGCTCATGCTCACCAATGGATCAGATGCGTTCGTTAACACCTAGAGAGCGGGAGATTCTTATCTCCAAGTACATCCTATTCCTTGCCGTGTCCAGTACGCAACCAGATTTCGCAACGCATTCTGCGATCCTCCGGAAACCCTCAACTGTGAAGTTGATAATGCCACCCAACTCGCTATTGACAACTATGAGGATTTTCAGGATCGTACTCATCAACAAGATGACCCTGTAGGTGCTCGTCTTGGTCACGCCTGCCCTCTTTCGCAATGCAAAGCACTGAGAGGATCTCCACCTCTCCGGAATTGTTCTCTAGTGTTGTAAAGGTTGGGCAAGTGACCCATGGCCCGCCTTACGTCGAAATCCCCTTCTTAAGAATGCCAGCATCAACGCCTGATCTGACATTCTCCGGGGTTTGTGCGCGTCCCACGGCGACATCCGCCTCTAGCAGCAGCCGTAGCTAGACCCATTCTGAATGAGCGTAGGCTGTGATGCCGAGCCTTGGCAACAGGGTTCAGTATTTCATGTTTCGGTGTGCGCTGTTTACGCCGGGGCAAGAAGTTGAGGGATCACTGTCCCTCGGGAGCATTCCCAAATTGAATCGAAAGCAGTGCATAAACTGTACCGCAGTTTGGAATTCCTCCCAAACCTGTCTTGCTACTTGCCGCCAAGGTATTCCCCGGACATCGACAGCTGCGGTTGAAACAGCCGGACGATTGTTCGTTGTGTGTATCATTCTCTAGAAACCATCTCCAATTTTGCTCACCAGGTTCCCTATTGTATGCAGTGGACCCATTCACCATACAACTGCACACGTTTACTACTGTAACCTGGCAGTCTGATCGGAACGATGAGTGGTATGGTAGGCAGCCGTATTTAGATCTGCTCAAGCCGTATTTAGATCTGCTCAGGCATGACTAAAATGATCGTCATTCTGACCCTGCGTATTCCTCCCGCAACCTTTGCTTCACCCATGCCTCGCCAGGGAGATGGCCGACAAGGTCGAACGCCGACATGACGGCGATTCGGCTTCAGGCCACCAATGGGTAATTCGGTCCTGGGGGACCGGTGACTTTATACGAGCGATGGTAGGGAGGTGAGCATACGCATTTTGTCGAAGAGCGTGTTCTGGTGTGGACGAAACATGGATGCTTGGTGTTCTATCTCGTGCGGTATGTACAGCATGTAGTCCTGCCTGCAGTCGTTCCCTATGGGGACTAGACTCCTCGAAGTCAGTGGGTCCTGCGCGTGATATTAGGTTGAATCTACGTCAATTTGATGTCAGCAAGGGGTGATAGCAAAACGTCGAAATTCGTCGAACGGTTGTTTCAGCTCTGATTGGCTATCATGATTCCGAGTTTTGCGCCAGTTTGGTCAATGTGTTGTTCGTGTTCCCAGACGTCCCATCGGCCCAATACATTGCGTTTGCATCTTCTTCAACCTGCGGTGTCCATCAACTTCCAGCGCTCCCGAAGCGAAGCGAGCTCAGTTTGAGCAGTATAAGGAGGAGCTGAGTAGGGATGGTTCCATTGGCGATGGCGCCGCCTCAACCGATGGCAGCGGCGCTGTCTCCACCAGCTCCGCCGCCGGTGACGCCAGGTACGCTTCGTTACACGCGTGCTGCGTACTTGGCATACGTGTTGCTGTTGTGGCTTTGTCTCGCATGTTTTGATGGAGCTCATCGACCTGTCTGTCACGCCCCCTCGGTCTGATCTGAGTTGGCCTGGAAAAATGGTCATCAACCTCCTGGTTGGTATTATTGTTTCGGTGGTTCTCGAGTGGAGCATTGTGGTCCCTTCGGGAGGTGAGCGCTCGGTTGGTAAGATGTTGTCTCCTGTGCGTGGTTTGAATTGTAGAGGACCCCCGGGAGGATAACCCAGGTGCAGCACCTGTTGGTTGGTGCTTGGTTGGTTGCTCGCAGAATGGTTTCGTCGACCATTGTCTGAATATCCGCTGACGATTGCTGCCCGCGCCTCGTTGCCCGACTGAATCACAAACAGTCTGGACATGGCCAAGAGCCACACCAGCGACGGCATGAGCGGGATCGCCGGCGACGCAGAGAACGAGGGAGCTACGACAAAGGTATAGGCCACCCCCTCGCGGCACTTAGCGCCGTTGCTCGTCTCATTCCTCGTGTGTCACGTCTTGATTCTTGAGTCCTGTGCCCTTGCGATTCTCCTTTGAAGGCTACGCCCATGTTGGGGTCTTCGCCCAACCGTTGCACACATGGTGAGGCACACGTTTGCCGTAGGCCCTCCTCCTTGCGGTAGATTCACTCACATCATTCGCGTGCCTTTCTAATCTCGGGACCTCTCTCTTGCTGTTGTGCCTCCCTGCTGTTCTGGGTCAGCCAAACGACGCGACCACCGGCGGCGGTGACGGCAGCGGGGGCGGGGGCGGGGGCGGGGGCGGGGGAAACACCGTCGCTGACAAGATCGATGTCGAAGCGGCACACACCCTGCTCGCTATGCGCAGCGGGAGTGCCGGTGAGGCAAGCGGGGCCAGCTCTCTCACCCAACAGGACGAGCTAATGTCCTCCTGGTCGACGTCAGCACCAGCGGTGTTTCCCTCGTTGGTGAGCCCTGCGCCAGAAGGGGACGCAACGGCGGAGCTCCTGGAGGTAAGCGGGTGCACGTGTAACGTAAGGTCTGATCTGAGGGTTTCTGCTTGAAGTGAGGACAGCTTCGATGATTCGTGTTGTGTGGGCGTTGCTTTTTATTTCCGAGATCTGCAAAGCGGTCGAGGCCGGACGCATGCGTTTCGGCATTGGGCTGGACTCTCTGCGTGTATGTGTTGTTGCTGCTGGTGCTATGACTGCGGCAGTTGTTGCTCACGTTAGCTCTTGCAGAACGCCCACTTGCCCGCGACCACAGCGATGCCTGGGCTTTCGGAAATTCCGGCACTATCAATACTGCTTCGGACAGGACTACACACAAGGTTTTCTACACACTCCTTTAACCGACAATACAAACTAGCTTCATGGAAACATTCTGGTAGACGTTCGAACTACATAATGCAGTATCGACGTCCGAGCTCTTCTTGTTTCTCCTGTCTTGCCCAAACCGAAGTGAGCAGAACTCGTGGTTAGGGACTACGGCGGTTTACGTTCAAAACAGGACGCTCCACCGCCTATGATCCTCTTACTTTGCCCCAGGCCCGCGGCATACATTCTCTGTGGGGTGCTGTGGCCCAGTACCGTGGTAGCGACGAATGGAGGTTAAGGCTATGGACATGATTCTTAACTGTACACTTGTCCATATGGTCAAAGTCTTCCGTGGTGCATTGTTGTATCCTGAATGTCTTGACTCCCAGGTGCTTGAAGTACCTAATGGCGTTTCTGTAGCTCTCCCCGCCCATACAAGGAACATGTTGGTCGTGGAACAACCTTGTTCGTGAGATGTTGTTTGGCCCTCGAATCGACCGATCCGTGATGGTCTAACGTGCAACTGGACCTTGGCGATGTCGTGAGGACACGTTCATGTGCAACAGTTCCTGTTTTCCACCCCCTTCTCCCACCGCAACGGCTGATGAATCCCTTGCTTCCTCGTGTTCTCCTTGGTTTCGATATGTACCACACCCACCCCAGCTCATCGGCAAATCAGGGAACTCGGACTACCTTTTAGACGCTCTGTATTTCGGCAGCTCCCCCCCCCCCCTCCAGACCATGAGCACTGAGGACTGGATGGACGTATGCATACGGGAAGCGATGTCGACATCTTCCGATGTTGTGCCAGGGATCACGGACCCTGGCCCCACCTTGGAGGAGGGCCGGGGAAACCCCTACGGCATCTCGGCGGAGATTGAGAGGTTGTAGCGTCCATGGGATGGCGTTAATCTATTGTTGAGTTGGCGTGAAGTGAGCCTGGTGCGTGGGCGGTTGTTTTGTCCACAGGACACCGGGCGAGGAACTACGAGGACTAACTGGCGCTCGCTTAATTATTCGTTGTAAAACATGTACTTCATGTGAGCACAAACTTCGTACACTCCGCTCGTAGTTTTATTTCTTGTGCCCGTTGTGGTGTAATAAAAATTCTGGCGTCTCCTGTATATTGTGGATACGAACGTTGTTATATTTCTCGAGTTTTTCTTGGTTTTGTAGAAATACTTGCGTTATGATGCTCTCTGTTTTGTGGTGTTGCTTCGTATATCTCGTTGGCGCAGCATACTCCTGGTCTGATGTAGTTATGCAGGACAGTCCATTGCTCGACCTTTTTTGAACAGAAGTTTATCCTTATCGTTTACTTTGCATTTTATTTACAATCAATTTCGTTTTAATTCGGAGGGTGGAAGGGATAGAAGGATAGGAGTGTCATCGTCTGCATGTGTTCGAAATATTGACAAAGGCGCACGGTAACATGGTCTTGCATCCTTATAGCGAACTTTCCTCCAGAATGTTTACCTTGGCACCCCCGTGCTTGCTACAGTAGTCGTCTGCCGTGAGTGCTGTGGTGTCGTACTTTGTACTCTTTGCGTGGAACGGGTTGGTTAGCCGGGAACGTTGCATCGCAGGGCAGGGCGGTGTCGTGTTGGTGTCGTCACGAGAAAACTGATTATTTTCGTGTGTGTGTGTCTTGCTGTACATCGAATTTCCTACAATGATGCTCCTCGCGTATGTTCCATGGAGGGCGGACGACAATAGAAGCAGCAGCAAGGTAGGACATCGATATCCTGACTTCCAGGGACTTTGATGTGGCAAACAGTATCCACGTTTTGGCGACGAAGTTATGGCCAGGAGCTGCCTCGGTAAGTCAATGAGAGCCCTCTAAGACGTCGAACGATCCAAGCTACACAGGGACTTGGAAATGTGTTGACACTTGGCAGTTGGGTCTTGTTGTTTTCGCGGGTTGGAGGGTGGGATCGGCGGCAGAATCGACTTGAAAATGATTGATGCGTATTCCAAGCGATGTAGTCGGGAATCTGTGTGTTCTGACTGAAAGGTGATCTGTTTTATTTGTGAGTGCTGGCAACGCAAGTTTACGCGATCCAGCAACTCTGGAGCTGCCGCAGTTTTCGATGGTGTGGTGCGGTAGAACCGCTACGGTCATGGCTTCCTCGTTGTTGGTACGTACATAGTACATAGTCGTCCAGGGCCTGCGCCCGCTTGACACGAGAGAAAGGTTTTGCGAGGAAATCGTGGTTCTATTCACTGTCTCACCGGCAACATTGCGGAAATGGCATCTCGTTGGGGTAAGTGCATCTCCGCCCACCAAAAGGAAAAACGCATTTACATCACACCGAAAACCTGTGTGGACTACAGTACACATTCCACACCATTTGTTTACCCACCAATTGAACACGTCGTTGTTTTACTTTAACATGTAGTCGGGGCACCGAGCAGGTTTAAATCTCTCAAAGTACCAAGTAACCGTGATTCCAACGACCGGGTCGCCTATGGCATCGCCCGATCGAAACAACAGGTAGGTTTTGCGTACGTTGCCGCCCGGAGTTCTTGTTCGAGTTGGTCTCTCTTTTGTTGTTGTCCCATCTGAACGTCACTATCTTTCACAAAATAATCGCGATCGTGAAGATAGCTTCTTCCTTGTGTTCGTCCCGCCCTTCGGCTTGTCCTGTTCACACGGCGGCCGCATCCACGAAACACCATATACCGGACACCAACCATATACAAAAAAAGCACATAAACTACATCACTCGATTCGTGACGTTCCTCGTGGCTTCATGGTCTGATCGGATACGAGGGTCAATACGGGGTTTCGACCTGACAGGGTAGTAGGCGGCAAGCACAACAATCATACCACGTAGCAAATATGTTCCAAGCCAGCTGCGGAAAAAAACAAAAAAAAATACAAAGACACCGTGGCAGTAGAAGGCGGAGAGATGCCGCCGGGCGCCATCTTTTTTGTTAATGTTTTTTCCTCGGAGAACGTTTGCACCTCTGTGCGATCTTTCCGAGCCCGGTTCGGAAATCCTATATATTAACCACTTCGTTCAGCTTTTTCAAGGCACCCCGATCACCTCCAGCGGCGTTCAGGAGATTCCACCCAAAGAGAGGCGCGTCGGAGATTATTCGCCCCGAGAAGGAATACAACAAAACAGGATGGCGTGTGCTCAGCCTTGACCGGTACCTCCACGCGTGTTAATGATCTCGCCTGGAACGTTGACATCGACACACCGGAAACAGGTAAAGCGCCCACGGCTGGCCAATCAGGATGCACCAGACCCCAACTTGGCAGAGCTCGGAACCATTTTCGTTTTCGGAAAGGCAACAGCACCAACAATAGTACACGTGCGGAACGGGCCACGACCGACCGACCGATCGAGATATATATATGTATATATATAGAGAGAGAAAGAGCGCGCTGGAACCGGCACAGACCAACTTCTCGTATATGATTGTATGTTGCTGATAGGTCTGCAGAGGAGCGCTTGTTTTGTCTCTTCGTGCTCGTTATATTCCGGCAACATCTTGCGGTTTCTACCCAAAACGTTTTCAAAACCAACCGATTAAATGCGTCGTGTGTGACGGTTCCAATAGTGACCATTGCGGTTTTCGTGGCGATGGATTAATGAGAGGGGAACGTTAAAGCGCCGCCACTCGCCCCGAGCCCGGCACCGATACTAAGCCCTCACCCCTCCTCTTTCCGTAACCTGGTTCCACTGCCATTCAGTCTACCGCCCGTTTCGCGGCCCGGCGTCTAGGCAGCCAGCTGTCGTACGTGGCTTCGAACGTTTTCTCGCTACGGGATGACACGCGGCTACGGCGGCGGCCACGGCGGCGGCTGCTGCGGGCGCGACGGCGGGCATGATGAGCCCTCGCTCCACCAAGAAGGCGGATCAGGTACGCAGGGGATTTGTGTACCCCCCCACTTTTTGGTGGTCAAGTAGGTTATGTTGTGCGGGGTCGAGAACCCTCACTCCGCGCAAAGGGGATGATCGCACCACGTTGTGTGAAAATGGTCAAGCAACCTCGAGGCAGTTCCACAGTGCTAACAACTGTTCTCTGGAAGTAAAAGCACCAGATATTAAATCACGTCATTCGCAGCTGTCATCCGTATGCAAGGACGTAAGCACAAGATGCCGAACACCCTTAGCAGGATGCAGCGCACCCTCCATTCGATCCGTCGAGTACCTCGGCGCTTCGCGCTTGGTGATGTGAGAGTCTGGTCCGGTGAGAACCCGGCGTGCTCCGTCCTGGCTTTGTAGGGATGCGAGGTCAATGGTCTAACGACCAGGGCATGCACGACTAGGAGTGCGCCCCGCCCACCCCGCCCTATTTTGTTGTGTTGTTTGCACAACCGGCCGACATCTTGGGTTGTACGCAAACAAAAGAACGAAAATGGCGGGGCCTCTTCCATTGTTGTTTTTGTGTGGCGGCACCCCCACCGCGTTTCAGAACTCTGGTTGTTTCATTGACTCCGACAGAATACCTCGCTGTGGGGCACAAATAGCGAGTAAGGAGCAGCCGTTTCTCCGCCCCGCCTTTCTGCTCGTGTGTCGGCCGGTGTGGGGGTCGTACGCGTGTGAATCACTGCTGAGCCACATACGACGTCGAGTTTGCGTCTTTTGTCGTGGGATATACTCCGATTCAGGGATGCGACCGACCATACGGGGCGACTGCCAAGACATTGGTCGAGATTCGCCCCCGTAGGGTGGATAAGTCTTGACGTCATGTAGTCCGCGCCTTTTCAAGAATCCCGGTCGTATGAATGTGGTAGCTTTGGTTATGACGCGCGGGTCCTTGAGCCCGCTCGATACGGTGACGATGCCGGGTTTACGCCATGCCTCACAGATGGAAGCCACATGGCAGTCTTCACTCGTGACGTTGATATGCTTGCGCGCCTACAGCGCACGCGCTATTCTCTGCCATCGCTACAGTACGCGTGGAGCGATGCGCTCGGCGCTTGGTATCGACGGACCTGATCCGTGGTCATGCATGGGCTGTGGGAACACGCGGATATCGCACATGAGAGGCCACCAGAACAACATTTACACACACCCTCATCTGGCACACAACGCCCCTCGCAAACCGTGTTGACGCAGGCGACGCCGAGCGAAGCGACGGCGATGCAGGAACGGCAAGCTGCTGGCAAGGAAGGCCCTTTAAACCTCCGAAAAATTGTTGCGAAGGCTATCTTGAGGAACGCCAGCGGCACCCTCGACTCCTCTGTGCACTCGCTCGCGTCCGCAGCCAACAACAGCCGCCACAACGCGGGGACGTACGGCGACAGCAGCGGGTACGGCAGCTGCAGCGGGGACGGCAACGGCAGCGGGCACGGCAGCGGACACGGCAGCGGACACGGCGTCGTGGGAAAGGGGAGCGGCCACGGAAGCAGTGGGCACAGCCTCAGCTGGGACAGCAACGGCGCGGGCGGGGGGGCAGCGGCAGCGGTCACGGAACCGCGTGTCGGTGCCTGTCTGCCCTGTCCTCGTCCAGCACCGGTAGCCAGCACGGTTCCGGTAGCAGCCGTCATGGGTCGGAGTCGGCGCCGCCGCCTATTCCCGAGAACGGGGAGCTTGTCGGCGCCCTGGATGGTTCCGGGGGGAGTGGCAGCAGCAGCCCCGCGGGACTGCTCGGCGAAATCGGGAAGCAGTTCAGCCTTGCTCTCAACCGGTCTTTCAACCTCGAGGGGAGCGATACCGGGGAGGCTTCGAAGCCGCCGCCGCCGGTGTCAAAGCCGAGAGATCCGAGGACGACGGCGGAGAAAGGCCTTGAGGACACTTCGTCTCATTCGGAGAAGACCGGGGTGGGTCGAATGGCAGAGGGGTTGTTGAAGCAGGTCGACCGAGCGGTGCCCAGCATATCTGTTGGGGACGGCAGCGGCCACGGATCGGGGTGGGGTGGGAGCGTCAGCGGCGCAGGCGGAAGCGCCCAAGGGAGCGCGCACGGTAGCGTTGCGAGCGTCGGGGCGTTGGGCAGCGGCGTCGGTGGCGGCTCGCGGAGACCAAGTGGACTCGTTTTGCCCTGGTCTCAGCAGGACATGGATCAGGGGCGAGATGGCGGTGGTGGCGGCGGGGAAGACGAAGCTACCAATCTCGACGCCGACGCGAGTGGCGACAACCGCTTTGGGCGTGCCTTCACCGGTGCCGGTGCCGGCGGTGGCACGCCGCACTTGAACGACGGCGGGCACGACGAATCGATGGGGCCGGCAGAACGCGCGTTTGCGGCCGCCTTCGGCGGCGGCGGCGGCGGCAGCGGCGGCGGTGCCGTCTGCAGCACTCCTCGCGTGACCTCGCACCCGAAGCTGTCGTTCGGCACGCCCGTGACGGAACGCGTTGTCTCCACGTCGACCAGCGCTTCCATCTACGGCACGCCGAGTCGGGTCACGCCGAGCGCGTCCGTCTTCGGCACGACTCTCAGGGGTTTCGCCGCGGACACTGCCGGGCCCAGCGCCGGCAGTACCGCCGGCGGTAGCGGGCATGGCTCCGCAGGCCCCGTCCGCAAGAGCTCGTTCGCGATCGAGGGTGTGGTGGCGGTGGACAAGGTGGCGGGGTACGAGGCGGGGATGGCGAACTGGCCGGCGGGGAAGGTGGAGGGGAACCCCGCGTGGGAGGAGTGGAGCTCGGCGAAGAAGCTGGTGTGCCACCTTGTCACCGCGGGCTGTTTAGCCGTGATCGTGCTTACGTGGTGATGGTTGTGCGCCGTGGTTGTGGAGGGGAGAACCTCTATTTTTTCGTTTTGGCGATCTCGCTTGTGGCTGAAGTTATCGGGCCAGCGCCCCACGTGCTGAGAGATGGCAAGAGGCGCTGTGGTGGTTTTAATTGTTCGGTTTTGACAATCGGTGCTGGCAAGGGGAACGACCCACCCCATGAATGATTTTCTTTGTGTTTGCTATTTGATGTACGTGGAAAGAGAATGCCTTGACTTTTAAAGAAAAACACACTACTGTCAGCGCATGTTAGTTATCTGTTACACAGTCCTTGGTATTTATAGTTGGTTCGGCCGGCGTGCTCACCGGAAATTCATATCTACAGCAGTAGGTTGGTGCAACAAGCAATGTGGAAGATTGTTCGTTTACGTGTTTGCCCGGCGATAGCAGCCACCGGCCGAAGTAGGCCCTGAGGAATTGGATGTTTCCGGAGGCCGTAGGATTCGTACTCGAGGTCTGTTAGGTTTCTTGTATGTCGTCGACCTATTTAGTTGTCGTGGGAGGCAGCCTACCGGCAGCTTTCCCCGTGCTCGACGTGTTCACGTGTTCTGCCCTCTGATGTGTGAGTGTTGGTCGTGTTCGCCTTGCATGGCGATTATTCGCGCCGTGGAAACACGGCACAGCAACAAACAGGGCATAAGCAATCAGAGATAAGCAAGCAGAACATAAGCAAGCAGAGCATAAGTATACCGCAACAAAACATGGCAGCGTCCTTGGCTTCTATCTAATCGTTTTATGCATAGAAAAATGACTTCCGTTGTTGGGCACGTGTTTCGTTGAATGTTGGGGAGGTATATTCACTCAGGGGTGCGCCGACCAGAGTATTTGCCTCCCGATTTGTTCCCTGCGTGTTTTTGGCGAAAGTCATTCAATTTTTGGGAAGCTGCCAACAGACGGGTGGGGCATGTGTGTTGTTAGACGGGATGGGCGAAGGCTTGGGGCCGGTGTTGTTGTCATCAGACAAGTACCGTAGGTTGAGTAAGATATCACATCCCCTGGGAACGATTTTCGAAGCTCGGTACCTCGGCAGGAGAATCAGTGACGGTGCCGACAATGGCGGCATTGGAACCGTCTCGTCGAGAGCTTTCCGATAACAAACGTATACTGCAATTTCAGCATCCTCTTCGTCGTGGGGTAATCGAGCTTTGAAAATCGGTCCACGCGGTGTGGCATCTGAGGCAACCTAGGGTACCTTGCTGCGTCGATCGTGTGTGACGATTTTTCTCTGTGTTTTTGGGGGGGGTGTCGGTTAGCGTGGGCGTCCGGCGGCTTTGGAAAACTCCACGCAGAACATGGAACACCACAGAGTGGGACATTTTTTCGGGGGGAGCCAGATCGTGGCATGGGTGGTTGTGGCTGCTTTGGTGCTTCATCTTTTGCTTGCTTGTCGTCGTTTGTGGTCGTCGCCCGCATCCATCCACCTTTCTACGGTCCCCGCGGTGACCTTGCGGAGAGAAACATGAGATCGACAGATGTAAGCGTGTTCGTTTAAGGGGAGATTTCATACGAAAGAACCTGATTTTTGCGAAATGGATTTTTCTTCCAGGTGTTACATGGCTTTGTTGTCTCATCTCTCAATTTTTTTTCGGGCCTGCTGAACGCCGTTAGGCATGGGCCTTAGAGGCCGGATCAAGCCGTTGCTGCTCTGACAGTACATTTTGATTTCGTCACGCCACGCAAACAAACCACGCAGTGATTGAGATGCGATGGACAAGGTGCGCTTCCAACACGAAAACAGCCCCTGTTGAAACCCCTCAGATCACGCGGCTCGTTCGGCAAACAGACCTCCTCACCTAGCACCGGCTTTGTATAGAGGGCGAACAAGAGGCTATACTCTTAGTTCGAGAGTTTGTGACGTAAGCACGACGCCACAGCACACCAGAGTACTCCTGTATACGCCCAGTTGCACACGGTAGGGTGAAAATGTTGGAGTTGAACTATAGAGTAGAGCCACGGCCATGCAGCAGCTCGAAGATCCGGGAGTGAGCTTCACACGCGGACCGACCTCGCGCAGTTGGTGTCTTCTTGCATCCTAACCATATCATGCTGCCGCCTACAGCAAGACTAATACACCAACGGAGGAACTCTTCAATCAACCGCGTTTATTACCAGGCATATTTTTTTACGTACTGCTGTACTTTAATGTGCTCTCCAATGTCCTCTTGTTGAACCGCGACCCGCCAATCGATCCCCGCATCCTCGCCTTTTTTCTTTTCTTTTTTTCTTAGTATGACACATCAGTATTTTCGAGTCAGTTCTTCTCCTCAGATAGTATGGGATGTAAACAGTGGCATCACCTCCCGCAGGGGTTGGTGTTGCCACTTCGTAGCGAATGGAAAGAAATAAATATGGCTATGGGAAACAATCCTGTTTCCTGTCAAGCAGTAATAATACAGCGATCTATATTTATTTCTTTCCCATCCGCGACGATTGTATTTTCCGGAGAAAAAATTGACTGAAAATAGAAATAGAGAAATTCGAGAAAGATTCCAATAATCGTTGGGTGGGTGGGTGGTGTCTCAAAAAGGAGACTCTCCTTTCCTCTGTTTTCCTGTCTTGCACAGGTTTGACAAAAGGAAGTGAGAGTGTGTTCTTCCTCCTCCTTTGTTCTGGATCTTTACGTCTGGAGAATTCTTAAATCGTGCCTCTTTCTTCATTTCCTGTTTTGAGAATCCATCAGTATTTTCGAGTCAGTTCTTCTCCTCAGATAGTATGGGATGTAAACAGTGGCATCACCTCCCGCGGTCGGTGTATCCACTTCTCTCCCTTACTTAGGAAACTCACTCGAACAAGATGAGTTTTCTCATCCCATACTTTACTGATAGAAAACAGATGAATGTGGAGGCATTGAGGAGAGACCATGGCTGAAATAAGACCATTTAAATAAACAAACGAGACCACCTAAAGCAAAGGCTTATTGCTAAACGCTGACAACGATCGGCTCTGTTCACTCAAACCGAACTCATTCAACTGCCTGTATTGTTCCTCTGAAACTCCCTCGACCATGGCGGTACCCTCGGATCCTGGAGCCACTACTTCCATGAGTCGCATGTATCGCCAAGCAGTCTTTGGACTTTTCCAATATGCCTTCTGCATGATTGTCGATAGAGAATCTCCTGCGAGGGCTCTGGAAACCGCCCCTCCTGACCTAAAGGAGTGTAGAGAGAACCCTTGGGTCTCTCCTACTGCCGCGGCGTATCTCTTTAGTGCTTCAGACATGACATCCTGCTAGTAGCCACCGGCAACTTGCCTCTCTGCGCTTCACCTTGCATAGACTCCGAAATGTCTGGGAAAAGGTAACCTGAGGTAGTGTCCCATCCGACCTGCTTCCCCACGGCTATAAACCTCTCTACCGCTCGAACTGGGCAGATTGCCACGTATTCCTCATCATACGGTACGGTCAGGATATGATCCGCTCCATCCCGTTGGGTTTTTCCCCACTGAAAATTGCACATGAGGCCGCTTCGATTTGGGAGTCGCAAAATACGTTGGATGAGGATATTTGTGAGCTCCACTCCTCTCTTGGTTGTGCTAAAAGCCACCGAAAAGAACGCAATGTCCCTAGCCAACGTAACCCGTTCGACGTCGGATGAGGCGTATTGAAGCCTGATCTGCATTGGAAAAATAATCTTCTCCAGATGGCTTCGAAGAATGACCGGTGCTTGTTTCACCAATACTCCCGCCTGCTTTTTTTGCTCACTTGTGGTGAACGCCATATATTGCGCAACTAGCTCGCTTTTCACCGGGTTACCAACCCGCATGGTCTTGCTCCACGGTGTCACCACTCCCATTTCCTTCTCGAACACCATGGATAACTTGGAGACATGATTTGTTCGGAGAGAGTCAAAGGCGTATCTAAGGCTACATTCTCCCTTGTCTGTTGAACAAGCTGTAAGATCTTTGGTGCCCACGGCTTCGCAGTGTTTAGCATGCACGATTGTACGCCGTCTTGAACCGCAGGAGTCTAACCAGCACAGGAACTCTACCACATCCTTTGGTTGTGCATTTTCAATAGACACAGACCCGTTCCTTCGAGATGCTAGGAAGTTGCTGAACAAAGCCCATGTGGCCGACCGACTGCGCGCGGAAGCTTTCTCCGCCCATGCATTTAGAAATTGTTGGTATCGCCTTGAAATAGCCTCTTCGTCCACTTGAAGAGGAGGTGTTGTCCGAGGTTGGTGCTGGGCTATTGAGTACCCGCACCATTGACAGAACCGAAACGAATCATCGTTTTCACTGTGGCACTCCGGGCATAAGACCCGTGCCCGCGATGCTGACACCTTCACGAGCGGCGGAGGAGGAAGCTTCGCCTCGCCGAGACGATCTCGCTTGGGAATTATCGCCTCTAAGATGCTCACGATGAGGCCAAGGGCTGTGAACACAGCCTGGAGAGCCTGGTAAAGAATGCGTTGTCCCACAAACCACCGAACATGAACAGGAGACACGTTGAGAACGAGCCGAACGAACTCTTCATCACTTAGCATTCCGGGCGAAATCCACTACCACAGCTAGCATTCCTGACCGTTTGAAATGAAAACGCTCGGACCCTTTCTGGTGGTGTACCCGGAAAAAGGGTGACTCACCCCCGCTACCGATCGACAACGTCCGTGATCGCGTAGCCGCGTCCGCTATCCGTGGAAACCAGTACTGCTTCCGATCTGGGACGATCACAAGCGCCTTTGCGCGACACTCCTCCAAGTGCTGAAGAAACACTCCTACCATGCTCGTCGGAGGGAAGCAGAAACCGAAACACTCCTCCGTCGTTGAACCAGGCATGAACCGAACATTTTGCGTAAGCACGTCAACCCCGGCACACCCTTGTGTATGGTATCTGGAGTAAAATGGCAGATCCTCACTAGTGCAGCGCCCATCTACCCAGCGCTTGTGAACCGAGGCGGGTGTGGCCATTAAATCCATGGTCACCTGCTCACCCGCCCACGCGCATAGGTCGCCGAACATCCGCTCATCTAGTCTCACAAAATCGTCCGATCCTGGTCTAGAAATACCATCAGCCTCAGCGTTTTCCTCGGAGCTCACCCACTTCAATTTCAGCGTGAAATCGCGTCGCACTTGCAACCAGAACAGATCAGTAATAATCTCATGCATGAGGGTGTTGGAAGACCGCCCTTTCTTAAAGGCGTCGTGTAAGACTTTGCTATCCACCTTGGAAATGAGGGTGGACCCGGCCAACTGAGAAGGTTGGCTATCCGAAAACAGACGCAGAGTCTGCTGGAGAGCGTACCCTTCCTGCACGTTGATATGTTGCTGCGCGACGTGTAGCGGGAAATCTCCGCCTGCTTTGAAAATGGGTTGGCCTGGACTCCTAATGAGTCCCCCCCATCCTCCCGAGGAGGCATCCGATGCCCCGGTAAGAGCTAATTGCTTATGCTCGGCACGGTACCACGACGCCCCGTTGAAATGCTCACGAACTTCCAACCAGCGTTTCAACTCGAACATAAGACCGCTGTTCTTTGGGACTGGTATCGTCATGCTAGGCTTGCGACCGCCGCGTCGCTGGAAAACTGCGATGCTCTTGTACATATGGTGCGTGTAAAGAGCCGCCACCGGAACCGCTACCGATAGACTAGTGCACTTGCCTGCGAGCTTCTCTAACATCTGAAAGGTGATGGACTCCGACGCAATAGCGTCGACTAGAATCGCCTCGAGCTTGGCGAGTTTGTCCTCTGGGACCTCGAAACGCCTGTTATCGGAGTCACAGATAATCCCCAGGAAAACCAAGCTCGTCGTAGGGATGAGCTCACACTTCTTCAGCGAAATGAAGTATCCCGCGCGATAGAGAACTTCTAGTGCGACATACGCGGTCGTCTGAGCTGCTTTGAGCTGCTCGTCATAGCGGAGCGTGCGGGTGGATCGAAAATTGGTCAAATAGAAATCGTCTATCCATGTTAGCACGGGAATGTCTCTTGCTCGCAGGTATCGAGCGACTGCCTCTGAAAGAGAAGCGTATATGAACGGGGCTGAACACCACCCGAAAGCAAGCACGGTAAACACGTACAGCTCGCCTTCCCACTCGAAGCCAAAATATTGCCAAGAACCCTTATCTAGGGCAACGTGGTGGTATCCAGCCTTATGATCAATAGTGACTTGATGAGCTCCGGGCCATGCGCACTGAGCTACCTTGCCTACGCCATCCATGCTGAAAGGGTGGTGGCGGCACATGAGATTAAGCCACCGTGCGTCCCATATCAACCTGGGTTTCGTGGGCTCCACACCCAACGGGAGCACCATTTGCGGTTTGCTAACGTCGGCGACGTCCTTCCATCTCGCAACGCAACCTGTCGCTGCGAGCTTAGCGACTTCGCTCGTGACCCATGATACATGTTCG